ACAAATCGCGGAAAACCCATTAGTAAAATAAAAATTACCAAATCAAATAACCTTTTGAATGACAAGACCAATTATTTATTTTCTTATATTTTTAAGAATTAAAAATGAGTTCTTTATTATTTTGGTTAGAAAACAATAATTTTATTATATAAACTCTTGCTTTATTTACTTTAATTATTACAAAGCTTCAAACCTCTAAGCATCTCCTTTTATAAATTTATTAATTGAGCTTAAATAGATGAAACTAATAAAAAAATATGTCCTTAATTGTTTCCAGAAAATTATATAACATAAGCCAAGCCAATGTTCCTACTTTCTAGTATTTTAATTAGAAAAGATAATAACATGTTACATGTAGTCTAATTACTGAAGTACCAATTACTAATTAACTATCTCTTCTCTCGGGCGAAGATCTGCTAGACGAACCACCATTTCATCGTAATCAAGAAGCCTTCGGTCTCTGGTTTTTCTCTTGTAATCTTTTGTTGAAGAAACTTCGTTCTTACGTGTGCTTGTGAGACTCGCACTGCCTTATGGTTCACGTAACTTCGAGTTTTCTTCAACACTCTTCTCTTTCTCCTCGTCGTGCAAAGCTGAAGTCTGTCTGAGTAGCTTCAGTAGGAGAGGCATAGGATCCCATCTGATATTACTCTCTTCAGCAATCTCTTGCAATGTCTGAACCCTAACTTTCCTTGAAGGTTTTCGCCTTACAAGTTTATCAACAAAGCTGCACGTTACCAAGATTTGTCAAAAACATGGATTTTAAATACCAAGAAATGTCAGAAACTAAACAAAATATTAGAATAGAAAATCAAACTCACCTCTTGATTTACAAAGGCATCAACGGAATCTCCATATCTGCGCGTAAACAAAGCTCTTAGATCTTTAAGTTCAGGAACATTGCGAACCCAAGCAGATACATATATCAGAGAGTAAACAGCTTCCCTGCATTCTTCAGGACCTTTCCTGAAAAAAATATATAAACAGAAAATTTGTGACCTTTGTAGAGTGGAAACAATCTGGGAGAATTTCACTTATACCACTTTGGTGGTACCACTTTTCATTTTTACCATCAACAAA